CCCAGTGCAAATGAAGTACTTCTGTCATAGGGCTTCATCAGTAAGGTCACAGTACAACAGGGGTTGCAGGTTCTGTAAGCATGAGTGGTATTTGCATATGTCAGAACAGACCGTGCATGCTAACAGTACAAACACTTCACATCTGCTTCTGTTTACTTCCATGCTAACACCCTAAAAGTACAGGAGTCCTGTGTTAATTGCTCAGTTACAGACTGACTGTTGATGTGTTCTCCACAGAGCTTTTCATAAGTGCACTGTTGCAAATAAACTGCTAATGACTTTGCTTATTCCAGCCAACCTTTAAAGGAAATCTACAACATACACGCAGATTAATGATGCCTCTATTTAGCAGTGTGTCTTGTGACTAGGTTTGCATAGAGGCAGTATCAATTAAGTAGCAATTATCTGCAAAGTGGAAAAAAGAGGGAAGATATAAATAAGTAATGAGTATGATGCTAAAATCTCTGAGAACAACTAGAACTGAACTCTGAGGCAAGGGCACCGACTAGTGAACATTTTTTCCCATCTTTTCTTATACCTAAACCCCACAGAGTCCCCATGAAAAACCAAAATGAGAACACTTAAGTTCTTAAGTAATTTCTTTATATTTGACTTTCAAGACGACCACTATTTTGAAATAGCCAAGAAACAAGAAAATGGGCTGAATGTAAACCTCATTAACAAACAGTTTATAAAAAAAAAAGAAAAGAAAAAATTGGCCCTATAAATGTTTATTTTATGAAAGGACCTGACTAAAACATATCAGATTTTCTATGTATCTTATCAAGAGTTCAGCACAGAGTCCCAATTTATCCCTTGATTCTTGTCAAGCAATAGCCTTTATCAGTACCTCATAAGACTTATCTGGAAAATTCTGCATTGTTTGGCTCTAAAGAAAAAGACCAAGCTGTGTTCTGAGGATGTGCATAACATCTAGATTGGTGGGGTTAGTAACAAACTTTATAAAATCTACTTTTGTTTACTAATCTTGGTTTGTAACAACCAAGTAGGTTCTTTCAGCTCAGGCTCTGCTTTAATGTGAATTAAAGCAGAGAGCCAAATGTTTTAAGGTTTCTCCAGATGATCTAGGGCCCAACAGTTCCTTTGATAGCTTTTTTTTCCCTCAAGGATGACTAGGATAGGTCAAAAAAAATGAAAAAAAAATTAACCTATAGCAATCATATTTTCTAAATCCTAAATGAAGACAAATGGTTTGACAAATATATATGGAGAAAGACAATTAGAAATGTGAATGGAATTGGCTAGAAAACGGTTAGATTCTGCGATAAAAATACCCAATAAAACAGAAGTTTACGGAACAACGAAGTATATTTTGCTGCAATATTCCAATCCTAAGTAAAGCTCCCAGCTGCTGGGCTGCTCTGCTCCATCTGGTAAGTCAGGAATTGTGGAGGCCACTGAGTCTACCACCCAGACTTTCTTAAAGAAAACCTGCTGTGAGACTAGCTGGTGTACCTTCAGATCTGCCCAGACATTCATGTTGTGGCTACACTAATGCCCAGGCTACTCCCAGCCAATGAATAAGCATGACAGGGGCACCAGAGCCAGGACATTTCTGTCGAGTGCAAGACTCCCTTAATGGGAGATTTTGTTCAAGAACTCCATATTGCCTTGACTGAGACTTCTCAGAGATGCTCTGCAGTCTGGAGCATACCCCACTCTCTCCTCCTTCCTTCCTGCTCTCCGTCCAGAGGTATCAGAACTACATTGAAGCCCAAAGGCTCTCCCCATGTCTCCTTCTCCCTCTCCCCTTTACCTTTCATAAATGTTCTCTTTAATATTTGCTATAGGTTCAGGCTCATATGAGTGCATTATTTTCTTGTAACTGAAAAGTTTTTGAACAACTGGAGGTACCCATTCCCTTTTCTGAAACTCTTTGGGCCAAATGTGTTTCTGAATTCAGAATATGGTGCATCCTGCAGCACGTGGGTGATTTAGTCAGTTAAGCGTCCAACTCTTGATTTCAGCTCAGGTCTTGATCTCATTAGGGTCATGAGATTGAGCGTGGAGCCTGCTTAAGATTCTCTTTCTGTGCTCGCTTCGGCAGCACATATACTAAAATTGGAACGATACAGAGAAGATTAGCATGGCCCCTGCACAAGGATGACACGCAAATTCGTGAAGCGTTCCATATTTAAAAAAAAAAAAAAAAAAAAAAAGATTCTCTTTCTCCCTCTCCTTCTGTCCCTCCCCAGCTCCCCTGCTCACACATGCATACATGTTCTCTCTCTCTCTCAAAAAAAAAAAAAAAAGAGAGAGAGAGGGAATATGGTGCATCAACTTTATATTATATAGTAAACTCCATTTGGGGTACTCCACAGTAACTATGCAGCAAAACCCAAACATGCATACAAAGTAGGATAAATAGAGGCTACGTGATCTCACATAAATATAGGTCAATTTTTGCCAAAAATATGTCTAGATCATGCTGGGAATTATCTCTAAATATATTACAAAACAAACAAAAAATAAAGCGAAATTTTTTGGTTTTCAGAACTTTATGGATTTGAGAAATGTGCACTGTTTATCTTTTATACTATTACTAATAGTTTCATTTACTGTCAGATTCATAATTTCCCCCTCTTTACATTATTCATCTATTAGATCCTAATCCAATGGTTCTTAAGCTTCAACATCAATAAGGATCCCCTAGGGGTAGTTTTCAACTCTCAAATTTTTATTCAGTAGGTCTAGTGTAAGGCCTAGAAATCTGCATTTTAACAAGCTGGTCAACCCCATCCTCTCCTGCGATCCTGATACAGAAAGTTTTGAGATTCAAACTTTGAAAATACTGTTCTAGACTTTGAGTTCACCTTTCACTATGGTAAACTACTAATATCACTAGTTCCAGGTTTAATCTCATGGATTTTCGAGGCCCATTGTTTTTTAAACATAGAACGAACTAACTAGCTTATTCTCTTATTCTTCCTCTTTGACTCTAGCTCTGCAGCTAGGTCATACAGCCATTCACTTCCTAGTGTGGTATTCACCAATAACTCTTCAGGGATATTTATCTTGGAATAACAGGAGTTAGTTTTTTTTTTTTTCTTTTTGAACTGAAATAGAGCTGAATAGTTTCTACTTATCTTTGAGTATCTGTCTCACCAGAGTATCAGCTTTGAGCTTATGAAATTATGCAGGGGGTCCCCCGTTCCCATGATAGTTGGAGTTTTAAGGATGGAAAACTATAGATAACTCTAATGGGTAAATGAATCCACAATAGGAATAGCAGGACAAGTGGCATAAAATGTATTTGTAAGTGTACTCTCAACTCAGTACTACTTTTAGCTTGGTTCTCTTGCAGGACCAGTTTTCTTCTGAACTAGTAAAGCAGTTGTATTTCTAAAGGTTCCTTTCCCTTTCCAAAGATATTGTTTCCTTTTTTTTTTTTAAAGATTTTATTTATTTATTTGACAGAGAGAGACACAGCGAGAGAGGGAACACAAGCAGGGGAAGCGGGAGAGGGAGAAGCAGGCTTCCCGCCAAGCAGGGAGCCCGATGCGGGGCTCAATCCCAGGACCCTGGGATCATGACCTGAGCCGAAGGCAGACGCTTAATGACTGAGCCACCCAGGCGCCCCGGATATTCTTATTTCTATTTTAAGTCAAGTGCTTCCAGAAACTGGAGACTAATCAGAGATCGTAATGGGATATGTTAAGAGGAGAGGTTTAAGGGAAAAACCAATGTCTGTAAAAGTGTCCAGGGATTTATTTGGGTAATATGTTTACTGCCAACAAATATTTGCTCACCTCTGATTTGGAATGTAAAGTCCTCTGCTAAAAACAGCTTGGTCATTAATATTAATATTAATAAGGGGAACACAAGAAAACCTAAGTCCAAAAGCATCCTTTAAATTACATGAATACCATTATTTCTATAGGTTTCATGATTTTCAAACTGGGGACTATGACATTTTGCTAGAATTTAACTGGAATTAACAGTTAAATGTGGTATATATCCCTAGTGAATCAATTTTAAGAAAATTTTAGAAGAAACTAGTAATTTTTATGCTAAAATAAGCAGAGATATTATGGTATAGAATACAAAGTCTGTGTGCTTTAATTAGTAAAACACACACTTATTAAGAAATACCATAAATAAAAATGCCTCTTTAGACTAAGACCTCATTACCTACAGAGGTCTGTCTTCTTTCTCAGTGATTCAGGGTAAGTTGGTGGGGAAGTTTAGAAAACACTACAGTTGATTGTGACATGTGTGGTTAGGTATTTCCTGTAAAGCGCATAAACGTGCCTACTTTATTATTCTAGTGCCTGCTCCTGGATTCTCCATCTCAACTTCCAATATATGGAGTTGAAAGCTGTATGAAAATTGTGTGTTTTAGTTGTGCTACCAAGGATATGCAACAGGATGTTAAAATTGAACTATTTCTGACTCTGTTTTGGCTAAAGCCCCAAGACAATATTTGCCAACTATTCCACATTCTAAAGTTAGACCACCTATGTAGGACTTGCAAAGAAATACAGGAAATAGAGAAGGAACACACAAGGCCCTTTTCCCCCTTCAGGTAACAACCTAGAGCAGGCCAGCTGGGGCTGAGGAGAAGCTCTGACTTGGATGAAGTTTGATCTTACACGGACTAGACATTTTAATTGCTGAAATGAGACTTTCCTTTTGTGATGAGAGGTGATCAGAGGACTTTTTATTACCTAAGAGTGACCAAAAAGTCACAGGATTTCCTCTCAATTTCATCTGAGTAGCAGAGCAAATAACCCTAAAGAGTGGGTCTGAATGGGCAGTGGGAGGAAAATAAAGTTTTTTTTTCTTTTTTACTATATGCCTGTGACTGGCACATGAATCAGGAAGAAAGAAGCAGTATAAGAAAACATTTAAAAATTTCTATTGATTCTTTTCTTTTTGTTTGTTTGCTTTAAGGGGCGATAATGCTTGCTTTTATGAACCTTAATCTTTTACCAAAACAGGACTTTTCCTTTCCACTTTACAACACATTCTCTGCTTACCTGTTACATGTCATGAACTCATTCTCCATTCATTGCTGTTCTTGGTGTTCATTTTATCCATATTTCACTTGCTTTAAAATACTGCAACGATATGGTATATCATCTTCTATATGCTCCATCCATATTTTCCCATTTGATGATGCTGGGATAACTTTCTTACTTCATGGGAAGTGTCTTCCAACTTCCAGAAACACCTTAAGCTGAAAACAGCAGAGAAAATTACATTGTAAAAAACAGACAAATAAATAAATACTGGTTATAACATTGATCCCTTGCCAAGGGGGTTCTGGGCTTCCCCACTTTCAGTGGTTGGGGTTCTTAACTTGCCTGGGTTCATCCTGACTCCATAGTCTCCCAAAAACCCCTTTCCCTGAACTTTGGGGCCAGTAAGCAGTGTGGAGTCTCCAGGTGATGTTGAGAGATTTGGTCAAGACCTGTACAATGTCTACCACAAATGCGGGTCCATTGTCACTATGGATTGTTAATGGCAGGACAAACCGGGGCACGATCTCCAGCAAGAGGACTTTAGCTACTTCCTGGCTTTGCTCCGACCTGGTCGGGAAGGCTTGGACCCACCCAGAGTATGTGCATACTATTACTAGGAGATATTTGAACTCCCTGCTTGGCTGCACATCTGTGACATCTATCCCTAGATCTTCGAAGGGGGTTGCTCCCATCCTCTGGACACCTGGCAGGGACCATGGTGCAGACCGAGCATTATTTTTAGCACATGTTATGCACCGATGTAGTAGTGCTTCTTGAGAAGGGCCTCTAATGCAGTTTTTCCCAGATGAGTGAGTCAGTGGTGTTCCTTGACTAGATGCCCTCCAGTTGCTGTTGGAACAAAGATGTGCCCATCTGGCATCATCCACCAACCCTTTTCAGTCAGGGTGGCCCTCTCAGCCATGGCCCATTCCTTTTTAGTGTAACTGGGCAGAGGGACTTCTTCCGGGGGTGTTAGGGCCATGGTGAGGGAAGGGGCTCTGTCTTGGCTGCCTTATCTGCCGGATGATTTCCCCACGCTATGGGGTCGTCTGCTTTCGGTGTCCCTTACAGTGCAGGATTGCTACTTCCTTTGGAAGCCAGATGGTTTCAAGGAGTCTCAGTATCTTCTCGTCAGCCCATTGAGCTGACCATCCAGCTGGTAATGCCTTTGTTTCTAGGACTTCAGTGGTTGTGGTTACTGCATAACCCACTTTCCGGGCACCCTCTTGTAGGTAACTGCTGCCATCGCTGAACAGCGTGAGCTCTGGATTCTTTACAGCTTGATCCCGCAGATCTGGACAGCTCGCATAGACTTCATCAGTCACCTCGGAGCAGTCATGGTCTGGTTCCCCCTCTTCCATGGGGCGAAAGTTTGCTGGATTTAATGTCCTGACTGTTTCGAGGGTGACCCACGGGTTTTCGCAGAGGAGCCCTTGGTATTGTGCTAACTGAAAGTCGGAAAGGAACAGTGTCCCTGTGCGTTCATGAGGGACACAACTGCATGAGACACCTTGACATTAAGTTCTTGCCCCAGGGTAAGTTTGTCCGCCTTCTTGATGATTAGGACTGTGGCTGCCAGCGCCCTGAGGCATGGTGGCCATCCCGCTGCCACGGGGTCCAGCTTCTTTGACAGGTAAGCAACTGGCCGTTGCCAGGGTCCAACAGTCTGGCTGAGTACCCCAAGGGCTATTTTTTCCTTTTGAGTCCAGGCAGGGGGTTCTCGATCTGGTCCCCCTAAAAGATCAGAAAGGGGTCTTGCTATTGCCGAGAACCCAGGGATCCAGATGTGGCAGAATCCTGCAGCCCCCAGGAATTCTCATAGGCCCCTTTTTGTCTGGGGCTGTAGCAGGGAGATAATGATCCCTTTCCTCCCTGGCCCTAGTTCTCTTTTCCCTTAGGTGAGGAGAAAACCAAGGTATCGGACCTGTTGTTGGCAGATTTGTGCCTTCTTCCATGAGGTTCAGTGTCCTGAGTCTGACAGTTTTTTTCTGAGCCACTTAGGTGACCCCAGGGGTTGCTTTTTAAACACACAGTTTCTAGGATATTCCCCCCATCCCATCCATTATGATTCAGTGGGTTTGCATAGGCCAGATAGTATTACACCCAGTGCTCATCACAACACATACCCTCTGTAATACCCATCACCTGGCTACCCCATCCCCCAAATAGTTGCCTTTTTAACAAGGTCCTTCCAGGTGACTCTTATAAAGGAGGTTTGGAAACAATGTCGAAGCCTTGCTGTTCAGAGGGCGGCCAGGGGACCAGCAGGATCTGTATCACCTGGGGTATCTTGTTTAAATCACCAATGTCAGCCCTACCCCAGACAGACAACTGGAATCGGCCTTTGAACAGTGTAGTAGCTAGGCTTTTGATCTGACCTCTTCTCTGTTTTCATTTTAGTAGGGTTCCTCCCGTGACTTCCTTGCCCCAGTCCTCTCCAGAAGAGCCCGTGTCCCCTGCCTATCCCTACCTGAGACCTGTCCCATCCCTGGGGGATCCTTGCTCCAACCTCCCACCACCCAGAGACGACAGGGAAAGGTGCTCTGTGAAGCTAAAGAGCCTAAACAGCTGGAGATCTTGCCTTGTTAGAGAAGACCGACTTGACTCCCAGGTCCTCTGACCTCTGCAAATTCCAGACCCCCAGAACTGTCTCATGATCTCAATTTTGGTTGCTCCGCTTTGTCTCCAAGTGTTCTGAAGCATTTCACACACGACTGGGCTTAGACAATTTGTCCAGACCTTCTTGAAATTTTTGATCATGGTTTCTAGAACCATAGGTTTACTCTGCCCTGACCCCATGGTGATGTCCCCGTGTGCACTGGCGCAGAGACAGACAAGGGGGGGTATCTTCTGAGATGAGGAGACCAATCAGATGCCTGCCTGGCCATGTCCTGAAGGAGCTTAGGTGAGGCTTAGCCGTAGCTGTCTCAGCGTTGTGACAGGATCGGAAACTATTCCGATGCTGCCATAGACCATATGCCATTCACCACGGAATGGCAGACAGGCCCACTCAGACTCCGGAGGCTTCTGGGGACCTTAAGGGTGCCCACCCATGGAGCCACAGAATTAGTCCGCTTGAGCAAGCCAGGTTGGACTGCACATTCACTCACACATTCACACTCCAGAAGTTATTACAGTCCCTCACTGGGAATCCCTACCTGTGAGACCTCTAAGAGGTCTCTGGGAGGTGATCAGTCTCCCCTTACACCCCAGTGGGGGTGTGCCTGTCTGGGTCCTGGGGCTCCAGGTCTTACCGGCGTCTGACGTCAGGACCAGGTCCTCACCTGCCAAGTCTCCTCAAGTCCGGCGGGAACAGTGGAGTGGGGCTGGCCTGAGGCGACCTGGGCGGGAGACTGCCGAAAATTAGGCAGGGCATGCCTTCTCCGTTATGATCCCTCCTTCTGTCACTGCCCCACTGTTGCCCCCAAACCGGTGGCAACAATGGGCCAGCACAGTTGGGTTTCCTGGTCAGGGAACCAAATGTTACGGAACCTGGACTGGATCTCCAGATGGAAGAACCAAGCGGCACTCGGAGATCTTGGAGGACAGAAGGTTTATTTAACACTGGCTAGCTCAGAAGAGAATGGTCTCCAAAGGTCTGAGCCTCGAGCACAAAGGGGGCAATTTATATACTACTACTTCTGCATACTTGGCACTTTTGGTGCGAAGCGGGGCAGGGAGAAGAATCCGGATTGGTGTGCATGGGAAGCAGAGCAGGGACAAGAACCTGGAAGAGCCCCAGGGCAAGGACTGGGACTCTCTTGCTGGCTCAGTCAGCCATCTTAGGACACAGATTTTCCTTATCAGGAGAAGCAGGCTTCCTGCTGAGCAGGGAGCCCAATGCGGGGCTCAATCCCAGGACCCTGATGCTTAACGACTGAGCCATCCAGGCGCCCCTAAGAACAATTAACTTTTGAACAATGTAGGGGTTAGGAGCACTGATTCCTATGCAGCCCAAAATCCGCATATAACTTTTGATTCCCCCAAAACTTAACTACTAATAGCCTATTGTTGACCAGAATCCTTATCAATTATATAAACAATTAACACATATTTTGTATATTATATATATTATTTATTATATTCTTACAATAAAGTAAGCTAGAAAAAAGAAAATGTTATTTAAAAAATCACAAGGAAGAGAAAATACATTTACAGTACTGTACATATACTTATTGAAAAAAATCCATGTATAAGTAGAACCCAGATTTCAAACCCATGGCTCTTCAAGAGTCACCTGTAGTGTATACCACTTCTGCCTATATTCTACTGGCCTGAACCCAGTCAGATAGTCACATCTATTTTGAAAGGGGAGAGCTGGGAAATGCAGTTTCCTGTGTACACAGGAGGAAAATGAAACAGTGTGATAAACACATAAACATGTCTTACCTTATCATGATATTGGGAAAGGGACTAAATTGAGGACTCCCCACAGTTTTCAATCTCCTTAGTGTGTAACTATGACTCTAGATAGTCTGGCATCTGTCTACGTCTCCAGCTTTATTTTCTCCCACATCCCACACATATCCTGTGGTGCAGGATAACTGTTTTCACTTATCTAAAATACCGTGCTCTCTTGAGCTCTTTGCATATGCTCTTCCCCCTTTCTTCACTGAGTTTCCCTGTCTACATCATAACTCCAGGAAATACTCTCCAGCCTTTCTCCTGTGACCCTATAAATTTCTGTATTTTTCTATTCTAGCAGTTAGAATGCTGTAGTATAATTGATTATAAGTTTTTTGAAGATAGGACAGGAAAATGCAGAGACATGCTGATTTCATTTTCATTCAGGATGCTATAGGCCTAGTGGTCTGAGAGCAATCTGTATACCAAACACTCACTACAGTATTTGCTCACCTCCTTTGTTTCTCCTGTTCTCTCATGCTCCTTCTTTTATATACACTGCTCTTCATTAAGTGATGTTTACTATAACTCTATTCTTTACAAAAAAATTTTTAATAATACATGAAAGGGAAAAAATAATATATGAAAGGGGAGCAGAATATACCACCACAAAATATGCCTCTTTGCCTTAAGAATCATTTTGAGCTGGTTATTTTTTAAAAGCAGTAGTCCCTAGAGAAGCTTAGAAAATCAAGCAGAAGTTACCCTTTTGTAAGAGACACTTACATTGATAAGGGAAATATCCATCTGTAAGGAAGTCTCTCTCTCTGGATCAGGAAGAAAAGCATGACCAAATCTCTAGACACTCTTCTCAATGAGAAGGTAAGAACTTAAATCTACATAACTTTACCCTTGTTTACTGTGTCTTTCCTGGTAACTTCCCATAATTGGCCTTCCCCTATCACCCCCCCCCCCCCCCACATCTTCTGTCTTTAGCTGAAAATGGTATTAAGGTGGTAGGTTGGACCATTTGGGAGGGTTACTCAGTTTTCCTGGGTATCTCCCATGTATACAGGAGATATAAGGTTATTAAACTTCTATTTTTCTCCTGTCAATCCATCCTTTATTACAGGGGGTTCTCAGCCAAGAACCTAGAAGGGTAGAAGGAAAATTATTTTTCTTCCCCTACAATATGATAACTAATACTTACTGATAATCATTATTCTAAGTATTTTACATGTATCAATTCACTTAATTCTCACAACTTCATGAAGGTGTTATTATTATCCTATTAAAATAAATGAAGAAAAGCACAGAGAGCTTAAGTAACTTGCTCAATCTGACACAGCTAGTAAGTGTTAGACTTGGGATATGGAGACAGGCAATCTGGCTTTGTGGCCTGAGTTCTTGGGGCCAGAATTCATCCTCTGTCCAGTTAGCTGTGGCAATAATGGTGGCATTATTTGTACCAAGAATGTGGCTGTATCAGTCAGGATCCAGATGGAAAAACAAATTATTTAGCATAATTCATTTAATAGAGAAATATTAATCAGGATTGGAGGATGGAAAATACAAAGGGAAATATGGAGGTTATACAGAGGTTGAGTTATTAGAATCATAAAACTTAGAGAAGGGACCCCAAAGAGCTGGGACTCAAAATGCTGAGGATATACTGCCTGGCTGGGTTGGTACCTCAGGAGCTTGGAGGAAGTAACTTGCAGAGGTAGGAGCAGGATTTTGAGCTGGGTGGGTTATTTAGCTGGTGATGCTACCTCAGGAACATGGAGGAAAGATCCTACAGAACTAAAATTCAGACCTCTGAAGAGGAAGGGTCATCTAGCTGGTGCTGGCATCTTAATATCATAAAGGAGGTTGCCCAAAGAATTGGAATTCAGACTTCTAAGGAAGAGTGCCTGCCAACTGATGCTAGTATTTTGGAGGGATTACATGAGTCTATTTCAGGGACTATGGGAGACACAAGAGCCAACAGCCACTACCAGGGTGAAGAACTCTTGTTGTAGAGATGTGGATAGGAACAAGCAAACAGTAATAAGAAAATTTCTTTTCTTGTCATCCTGGCTTCTAGTTTCTCTGTAGTACCCTCTGTTTAAAGAACCTAACAGGGAGCCAGCTGGCAAAGAAGAAATGTGGTTTGCAAACAAAATGAAATGAGGCTAGGTTTACCAATCTAAAAACATGGAGGAAGGGACTTGCAGAGTAAGGAATCAAAATACTCAGAAGGTATTACCTGAGCTAGCACTGGTACCAACCCTGAAGCAGAAAAAAAGAAGAGGAAAAGAGCAGAAAAGCAGAGTATATTTGAGTGTAGAAGGGTGCATTTGGAGCTGAGAAAAAGGTATTTTGATAACCCAAAACATTGACTTATATGTGCAGAGCCTATTAGAAGGTGTCCCTTCATTGGGGGCTGATCTTATCAAGATTCTCAGAAGGAGCTGGTATTAGCAACAGAAACTTGCTTTATTTGTCTGAAACATTTCTAAGCAATTTAACATCTTAATTTTTCTTCTTAAAACAACAAATGGATTTTATTTTTTATTTTTTATAAAGATTTATTTATTTATTTATTTATTTATTTATTTATTTGAGACAGAGAGAATGAGAGAGAGAGAGAGAGAGAGCACATGAGAGGGGGGAGGGTCAGAGGGAGAAGCAGGCTCCCTGCCGAGCAGGGAGCCCAATGCGGGACTCGATCCAGGGACTCCAGGATCATGACCTGAGCCAAAGGCAGTCACTTAACCAACTGAGCCACCCAGGTGCCCCAACTAATGGATTTTAATTTACTCATTCATTAAACATTTTCTGGATATCTGCTATGACTCCTATACTGTACCTGCTTCTGTTTGTTAGGCCACAGATGGGACAAACTTTACAAATGAAACATGGTGTAGGTGTAAAGCAGGTTCATTGGTGAAATTTACAGGCAGAGGGACAATAAAACACACATAGTCTCCCTAAGTCTCACCACCATCTAACAGAATGGGTGTGATGTGGCTGGATGTATACTCAACTCTACATTTTTCTGGAGAAATTGGGAGGAGGCAAAAAGGATCATCAGACTCATAGCCTAATTAATGGTGTATCAGTCAGATTCTAGTCAGGCAACAAAAATGCACCAGTTATTTGTACAGAGAAATTTAATATAAAGAATTGCTAATTCAGTAGAAACTCATTAACTAGACAATCTATAGGGCTAACAGGGAACTCTAGGGTGTCACTGAGTTAGCTACTGCAGGATGAGTTACTAAAGAGGAAGAAGGGAAGTGGTTTCAATCATTAAAATTTAGAAGAAGGGTTCCATGGAGTTGAGACTCAGACTACAGAAGAACATCCCCATGAGCCTAAAACCCAAACATCTGAAGAAGAGGTATCATACTGCTGGTATTGTTTTTCATGGTGGAGGAAGGGGGCCATGATGAATCTGGTTTTGCAAGTATGCAAAAATCTACAAACCAGATTCAGCTGCTTCTAGAGGAAGGAATCCCCTCTGTCCAGATGAAGGATCACTGCTAGGACAACACTCAGAGGAATAAGAAGAAAAACAAGAGAGTAAGCCTCTTTTTCCTGATGTAACCTAGCAGAATTCCTCTAGTGTCCTCTATTGGCAGAGCCCAAGAGCCTTCACCATGAAGGTAGAATGTAGAAATGTTCTTTGTGGAATCTGAGCACTAGCATCACAAAGCCTAGCATAAAATAGTGGGTTTAGAGACAAGAGAAAATAGTTTATTAAGCAGCACAAATGGAAATAGGAAGATCTTGGGCTCTGTGTTTGGAGGAAGGGGCTTGCTAAGGAGAGAAACCTTTTAATTTCAACTGTAAGTCAGTAACTGGAAGAGTTTGCCCACCAGCCTACATTTCAACTGGTCACTGAGCAGTCCATCCCGATGAGCCAGCTGGTCTGGAGGATAGCCGTGGAGCACCATTCAGTAGATGGAGGAGTCTATCTCTTTAATGCTTTTGTAAATTAAAAAAAAAAAATAGGTAAGGGTAGGATGGTAAG